AATTGACAGATAGAAAATAAGAAAGAGACCTGCTAAATGTGAGATAAATCAAGGCTTGGCTATTAATAATTGCTAACATCCAATATGTAGAGCCATTCCAAAACCACCAAATTTATATTCAGGAAAACTGTTTCTAAAGCTCTACAGCCTTTCAGTGAGGCCTCAGTGAGGCCATGGGGAATAATGGGCAAGAAAGTCCTCTCTAGAAGGCAGACAGGGATTATATGACTGGTTAACCCATGAACTTACTGCACTGACAAAACTAGAATTCTATTGCTGCCCCCAGGATTTGGTATGTACTGGCAACTGGTGATTTCTGCTTGTTTCCCATTCTCTCTGTTCCTGAACGGTGGTCTTCCTTTAGTTTCATGTATCCTATTTTTTCTCTACTGTTCTGTACTGTGGGAGTTGGGACATATAACTCATATTTTTTTTTTTTTGATAACTCATCTTTTAAGCTTATGAGTGCTAAGCCATGAGGAACAGCCATGTCTGAGCCTGTCGGGGATGATAGCATCACCAGATGTGATCATAGGATAAGGCTTTGAGGTAGGCCCCTTTGGGGAAGGATGAATGCATGCCACCCAAAATGTATAAATGGGAAGAATGGTGTAATGAGTGTTGGACAGCCAAACAGATGAACTCTTCTTAATTTTCTTTACTGGAGGGAGCTAAATTATTCATAATCCCAGACTCTTTTGCAGCTAAGGAGGAAACCATATGACTCAGTTTGGACCATCATGATGTAAACACTTGGGTCTAAGTTAGTATTCTGGGAAAGTTTTTAAAAGGACAGAATCAGCCAGAATGATCCATCAGCTTCAGCTGCAGCTTCAAGTCCCTTTGTCCTTTTGTTTTTCCTGGCTAAGATGGCGATATCGTATCTAGGCTTTAGAAACAACATAAATGTACAGACGAAAGCCACCCATAGAAAATGGCAGAGATGCCTTGATCCTCGAGAGCATGCATGCCAAAGCATTTGCCCTTCACTGCCTATCCACAGCCTTCTTACTAATAAGAAAATAAACACCTACAAGGTGAAGCTATTCTTAGTTGTTTTTTCCTCAGCTCTTTTCTTTTTATGCTTACAGAGACACATTCCTTAGCCAATGATTTTCTTCTAAATACTTTGAGGTTGGCAAGAACAATAATAACCAATATTCTTAATCCAGAGCAATCCAGTAGCAATCCTAGGAGATAGGCTAAATGTAAATATTCAGAATAAGAGAGAAGTTTTTTTCAACTTGATTCTCCAACACCTAGCACAGTAGGTAATAAAAATATTTGTTGATATCATGTATTATATTTCTCAAGAGACTGTTTCATAATGACATACCACTAAAGCAAATGTTAGAATTTATAGAAAGTTCAGTAACAAATTTGAATTTAATGAATGACAACATTCATTGAATAATTAACATTTATTGAATTCTTAGTATAATCTAAGCACCATGCTAAATTCTTTGTGTATTTTTTTTAAATTAATTCTGACAGACGCCCTTAGTCCCATAACCTGAATATTATTATTAGAGAGTTTAAGAGATATTTAAATAACTTAGCCAAGGCCACACATCCAGGTGGTATCAGAGCCAAAATTCAAGGCCAAGTTTCTCTCTCTCCAAACCTATGCTCTTAATCACTCTGTATTACTAAAATATTCTAAATCTGCTCTCCTCAAAGAAACATTTCCTTTGATCCCTAAAAATCAGATCCCTGTCTTTTTGACAGAGCAGCAAGTATACAGAAAATGTTAGTCTGTGTTAATGGTTATACATTATTAATCAATTACCACTTACTGGATGATTTATTGTTTGATTCCTTTTAGTTGACAAATCAGTTGAATTTTTCATATGCACACATTGGAATAAGTTAGCTAGAGCGATTCCCTTGGAGAGCTTCATGTTCATTTCAGGTTGCTATTGGGAACCTAGATTATTTGTCACATTTTTGCTTTAAAATCCTCGAATCTTTAAAATGTAGCGCCACAACCTGCATTGTAGGATATTGATAAGAACAAGGGTGTAGGAGGCGATTCAGTAGATACTTAAATGGCAAAAAATATAGTGCAAGTTTCACACACCCGGCAGACTGCAGGTTTATATGATAATAAATTATAGTTATTACCAGGACAAAGGGAAAAAAAGGCCACGAAATCCAATAGCTCAGTGAGAAATCTGCTAATACAGGTGGTCAAGCTTGCTCCATTTCATCGTCAAAGGGAGGCTATTTATTTGCTTCTGGGTAGTTAAATTACAGAGCCATTTACTGCTGAAAGTTTTCTAGTATGCAGATGCGGATCTAAAGCTCTGGGCTTTAGATTCAAAGTCTGTGAGGAAAAAAGAGGAATAAGAATTTACTCCACAGACAGCATAATTGATAAGGTAGAAATCTTTCAGCAACTCCAGAAATAAAATAAGTGCCTTTAAACATTTCAGTTGGAATCTGCTTACATTGTACATTGTGCAGTGTTGGGCGTGGGCTAAGGATAAAAATGCTGGCTATAATGAATAACAGTTTTCAGACGCTCTTTAAAATATATTCATTTTGGGCGCCTGGGTGGCTCAGTTGGTTAAGCGACTGCCTTCGGCTCAGGTCATGATCCTGGAGTCCCGGGATCGAGTCCCACATCGGGATCCCTGCTCAGCAGGGAGTCTGCTTCTCCCTCTGACTCTCTTCCCTCTCGTGCTCTCTATCTCTCATTCTCTCTCTCTCAAATAAATAAATAAAATCTTAAAAAAAATAAATAAATAAAATATATTCATTTTGATAGCCTCCTATTTAGGTGAGAGGTCAGTGATTGGTGCACATGTGTACGTGTGTGTGTGTGTGTGTGTGTGTGTGTGTGTGTGTGTGTACACGAGACAGAGTGAGATGGACAGAGTTTCCTTGTGTACCAGAACGCTCAGAAACAGAGAAAAAACAGTCATAATGGTTCCTCAGTAGTTATAAAATCAATGCCAACTTTCTTTGCCTGTTGTGCAAGATGATAGTGATTTTAACCCAACGAGTAAAACTACACATGTATTATTTTTTTCTCAGAACATTTGAAACAGTGGAGATTGCACACCCTGTGTTATTTCTAAACTGCCACAACCTAGCAATTTCTAAAACTTGTTAGTCCATCAATAAAATAAATCAAAGATATTCCAATAATTTTTTCATAAGCATTTTTTTAAAGATTTTATTTATTTATTTGAGAGAGAGAGAGAATGACAGAGAGAAAGCATGAGAGGGAAGAGGGTCAGACGGAGAAGCAGACTCCCTGCTGAGCAGGAAGCCCGATGTGGGACTCGATCCCGGGACTCCAGGATCATGACCTGAGCCGAAGGCAGTCGCTTAACCAACTGAGCCACCCAGGCGCCCTTCAAAAGCATTTTTATGATGATTTTCTTGTCAGTTGCCTTTAAGTCCAATTTCAAGTTTTATGCTTTGCATATACTGAGCAACTATATTTTACCACTTGTTTCCTGGGTATAAGTGCTTGCTTAAGTTGCCAGGTAACTTGACTCTTTTGCCAAGTGACCTTTAAACTAAGACATGTACGTAATTAATTACAAATATTAACTTCATCCCTCTTAGTTCATGACCAAATTCGAAGCTTCCAGGCACAGTCTTGATGAGGAATACATTACACAGGTGAAAGAATTCAAATTCTAATTTATATAGCCTTGAAAAACAACTAATGTATCATAAAGGGCAATGAGTTCACCAAAGTAATCTTTGTGGGAAATGACCCACAACCAAAGAGTAACAGATACGAGTGGTATCAGCTTGCTAAAAGACATCGGAAGATGAAGAAAACCAAATGTCCCACCTCTGGTTATCTCAGGTTGAAACTGAAAAATATTATCAGGGAATGTTTGCAACCATAACAAAATCCAAAGGACTGAAAATTTGATGACTTGGTCATTATATCACTCAGTTCTTAGGGTATTCGAATAGTTAAGGGTAAAGGTATACATGAAGATGGCCCAAATACATTAGGTCTGAATTTCAAGATCTGTTCACTCCTCTATCTAACTTTTGAGACTCCAGAGACAAATAAATGCAGTGATAGTAATCATAAAATTATTTAAAAATATATTTGCAAGATGATCAACTTAAAGCAGATATGTATCAAGCATCTATATGCTGTAAATGATTTTCTTGAACTTTTTATTTTGAAATAATCATAGATTTACATCAAGTTGCCAAAAGAGTATAGAGAGATCCCATGCACCTTCACCCAGTCTCCTCAAAATTTATATCTTACATAATTAGAATAAAATATCAAAACCAGGAAGTTGATATTGATCTGCATGTATGGTTCTACACCATTTCATCACATGTGTAGATTCTTGTAATACCACTGCAATCAGAATTCAAAACTATTTAAAATGCTCTTATTTATTTTCTTGAATATAAAAATGCATTATGATTTCAGATAGAAAGCTCCAGACTACTTGTTCTACATAACAACAAATGAGTATTGAAAGTTATTAATATCAAGGTGATTATCACCTAGTAAAACTATATATAAAGGCCAAAGTGAAATTCTAGCAATACAATGTGTGCTTTGGTTAAACTCATTTCCCTGCAAAAAATCAGAAAACGTCATTATTCAGCCATCCGCTACCTCCAACATGAGAGTGAAGTTTTTTAGCACAGTTACCAATGACAACTTACTGAGAATCATACTACTCCCAAACAGTTTACTGCTGAAAGCCCTAGACACACACAGACACACACATACACCTTTTTCAGGCAAAACAGAGCACTTCACAAGTGCTCTTAAAGCGTAATGAGTTCACCATAACAAAAGAGCATATTAATAAATACACACAAAGAAACAATGAAATAAACCAGCCAGGTTCTTCCAAGCCAAAGCTATTATAAGGTTTCTTGTCTTCCCTAACAAGTAAATATAATTCAAATCTTGCAAATTCCAATTCTGATTCAGCTCACAGTAATGGAGAAATATATTATCACAAAAGAAAAAAAAATCTAAACCCCAGTCTTACCTTGGCCATCTGTGCCTGCACGCCATTTGCCTTGAGAGATGCGACCGCCTTCTGTGCAGCTGCAGGGCTGTCAAAATCTACAAAACCGTAACCTGTGAAAACACAAAAGCCCTTGTTAGTACCGCATCTCCATCCGACCAGTGTAAGGTGTGTTTGCAGTCAGCCTGGCATTCATAACTCTTGGAGTAACCATGAAAGCTCTCAACCGATTGGCCTTAACATGTCAGGAAAGATACCACAACATCATTAAACATAAAATTGTAATTCTCTTATTTTCTGGAGATGGCTTTGGAGATTGGGTATGTAGTCGGTGATCTGATTTGGATGAGTAAGGTAATACACTATTTAACCAGGTTCCTCTTTCTTCAGTAAATTTGCTGCCACCATGAGGAGAGCAAAACGCTGAAAAATATAGAAAAGTCTATGTCTATAGCGAATTTTCAAAACCACCAAAAAGTTGATGTTACTAAAAGCCTTGATAGAACTTAAACTTATCACCAGCAACCTCAGCAGGGCCTGGAACACAGTACACATCTGATATACAAATGCATGTTGACCATGTGAATGAATAAAGGTTGTGAATGAGAGTTAGGGTCTGAACCTAGTTCTCGTTGATACCTAAGCCCATGCTAATGCACCACAGGACCTTGTCTCACTCAATGATAATGTCTAAGATAAATTATTTGAACTCTCAAGTGATATGTGATAGAGTAATTAAATAGATAACTATTCAAAGCTTCTTTTAAAAATAACAAAAGTAGACCCATGTCACCTGTTACTTGAGTATAATCTGAAAAAGGCACACCAGGAGTTCTCTATCCTTGTGCCTGTGTGAGTGTGTATACAGCGTAAGGCTAGAAAATTGCTAGAATCCATGAAGCAGAATCAGTGGAAAGGGGATTCGGCAGGCCCATAAACTAGATGATCTTAGTCCAGGGCTTAGCCTCACTGTAATGTCAGCTGCCAAGAATATTTCAAAATAAAAAAGCTCAAGAATGAATACGAGGGCAGCTTTGTGTGGCATGTCTAAAAAGCCCATCATAGATATCCTCTCCCCATCTGTCAGGCTGGGATCTACTCCACACTCTCATCCTTATTCCTCAGAAGTTTGGAGGCGAGCTACCAAAGCAAACCTACTAACCATGCTCTGTGACCCACCCCCTGTAACCAAAGAAGAGAGCAAGGGAATTCAATTACCAAGTTGTTTCTTTTAATTAACTTTTTAATTTTCTCCCTTCGAGTCCCTTCTTTTTCTCTCTCCCAGCATGTTATCCTAAAATGAACTTGTTACACAGCAGTGTACCATAAAATGCTCTTGAAAAGCTGGGCAGAGAAGCTGTGAGGTTTGTGTTTCTCATACAAAGGGAAGCCTCCTCTGTAAGTCCCGCTAATTCTTCTCTTCCCACAAAATTCAAACTATGTAATAGGAGTATTACCACCCACTAAGATGAGTCAGGGGAAATAAAAGCAGAAAGAGAAAGGGGAAAAAGAACAAAATAAGTCAAGATGTAGAGTCAGAGGGAACAGAAAATAAAACTAAAATGGAGACATTATCTCCTTTGTACCACGTACTATGCTGGGTGGTTGACATGCTGATCCCTGGGGAAATGATGATGTCAGGTCTTATTGGCCTCGGGCCTGCCCCTTCATGGATATGTGAGGAAACAGAGCCTCAAGCAAGGTGGCACAACTAGCCCCTAAATTGCAAGCTGCTTAATTCACAGGTCCAGGATTTGAAGTAAAGTCCTCATAAGCCCTTTCCAAATGCACCACACAACGAACTACTTTATAACCCCACTTTGCAAACTCTTTTGAGTAGATCCTGAAGCCCACCAGGGAGAGGACACAGTTCTCAAAAATTCCTTGATTTTGAAGTAAGGACATAGAATAAAACAGTTCCACAAACGGATTCAATGCAGTTCACTCAGTCAGTACATTTATTAATGGGGTGGTTGAATTCTCAGTAGAACTGGCTAAGTGAGGTTTGACAAGGTGTCCCCTCCCGCCTCATGCTTTGGTCAATCATCCTCATCCATTCACATGCTCATTCTTTCATTCACTAAAGAAATTCTATTTCAGGCAACTTTGCCAGGCACATGGTATATAGGCGTTAAAAGGGATAGTCCTAGGCGGAGCAAGATGGCGGAGGAGTAGGAGACCTGGATTTCATCCAGTCTCAGGAATTCAGCTAGATAGCTATCAAACCATTCTGAACACCTACGAACTCAACAGGAGATCGAAGAAAAGAATAGCAGCAACTATCTGAACAGAGAAGTGACCACTTACTGGAAGGCAGGACATGCAGAGAGTGAATCCGAGGCCATATTCGGGAGGATAGACGGCGGGGGAGGGGGCCTCTATCCACCGCTTCTGGCAAGTGATAGAGCCGCGGAGCACAAAATCGGAACTTTTAGAAGTTGGCTCTGCGGAGGGACGTCGCTCCAGTGGCTAAGCGGGGGGTGGAACCCTCGCGGGACAGTGTGGTCTCAGGACCCTCGGGGTCACAGGAAGACCGGGGGTGCCTGAGTGCAGCAGAGCTCCCAGGTATCGGAGCGGGGAAGCCGGCTGCAGAGACGGAGCCATAAACCGTGATCCGCGGCCCAGGAGGGCCACTGCTCCTGCAGCAGGGACCCAACAAGCAGCAGATCCAGGGAAACACCCCCTCCTCCCCCGGGGAGGAGTGGCGCGGGAGCGCACCGCAGGGACCTGCTGGGTTTGGGGACGCCACACGGGGTCAGGTGCCAGAGATAGAAACGCTCAGTCACAGGCCGGGTGAGCACGGAGTGCGGCCAGAGACTGGGGAGATGAGAGTGACTGCTTTCCTCTGGGGGCTCACTGAGGAGTGGGGCCCCGAGTTCTCGGCTCCTCCGGGGCAGAGATTGGGAGGCAGCCACATTCACTCTCGTCCTCCAAAGCTGTACGGAAAGCTTGCAGGGAACAAAAGCTCCCGAGAGCAAACCTGAGCAGATTACATAGCCCAGACTGGCAAGGGTGGGGTAATTCCGCCTCCGGCAAAGACATTTGGGAACCACGGCAACAGGCCCCTCCCCCAGGATATCAGCAGGAAGAGCCAGCAAGCCAAGACCAAGTTTACCGATCAATGAGAATGGCAGAACTACAGAGCTAGGGGAATACTGCACATAGAATCCATGGCTTTTTTACCAAGATTCTTTAGTCTTTCAAAGTTAATTTTTTTAACTGTCTTTTTTTTTTTTGAATTTTTCTTTTTCCCTTTTTCAACCAACATCTTATCAATCCCTTTTTAAAAAAAAATTATTTTCATTATTAGAGACATATTCTATACTGTCATAGTAGTTACACTTATTTTTGGCATAGATATATAAGTTGTTCTTTCTTTAAAATTTTGAGATACATTTTCTTCTGACAGATCAAAATATACCCTAAATCTCTAGGTATGGCTTTGTTCTAGTCTCCTGCCTGATCACATTCTCTCCCCTTTTTTTTTCCTTTTTTTAAAAATCCTCTTCTTTCTTTTTTCAAACAACTTCTTATCAATTCCTTTTATCAATTTTTTTATAATTTTCATCTTTACATTCATAGTCCATCCCTTCATCATAACACCCCTTATTTTTGTACAAGTTTTTCTTTCTTTAAAATTTGGGGAGGCACTTTCTTCTAAAGGACCAAAATACACCCAAAATCTAGTGTGTGGCACTGATCTATGCAACAGGTTGATCATATTTGATCATACTCTGTTTTTTTTGTTTTGTTCTGTTTTTGTTTGTTTTTATCTTTATCTTTATCTTTTTTTTTTCTTTTTCTTTTTTCTTTCTTTCCCTTTCTTTTCCCACTATTTCAGGTCTTTTCTGATTTGTTTAGAGTATATTTTCTAGGGACGTTGTTACCCTGTTAGCATTTTGTTCTCTCATCCATCTATTCTCCTCTGGACAAAATGACAAGATGGAAAAAGTCACCTCAACAGAAAGAACAAGAGGTACTACCGACTGCCAGGAACATAATACAGACATTAGTACGATGTCGGACCTAGAGTTCAGAATCATGATTTTATTATTATTTTTTATTTTTCTAATTTTTTTATTTTTTATTTTTTCAGAATCATGATTTTAAAGATACTAGCTGGGCTTGAAAAAAGCATAGAAGTTATTAGAGAAATCCTTTCTGGAGAAATAAAAGAACTAAAATCTAACCAAGTGGAAATCAAAAAGGCTATTAATGAGGTGCTATCAAAAATGGGGGCACTAACTGCTAGGATAAATGAGGCAGAAGAGAGAATCCGCGATATAGAAGACCAAATGATGGAAAATAAAGAAGCTGAGAAAAAGAGAGATAAACAACTACTGGATTACGAGGGCAGAATTCGAGAGATAAGAGAGACCGTAAGACGAAACAACATTAGAATAATTGGGATCCCAGAAGAAGAAGAAAGAGAGAGGGGCAGAAGGTATATTGGAGCAGATTATAGCATAGAACTTTCCTAATTTGGGGAAGGAAACACAGGCATCAAAATCCAGGAGGCACAGAAATCCCCTCTCAAAATCAATAAAAATAGGTCAACACCCCAACATCTAATAGTAAAACTTACGAGTCTCAGAGAAAAATCCTGAAAGCAGCTCAGGAGAAGAGATAGGTAACCTATACTGGTAGAAACATTAGATTGGCAACTGACCTATCCACAGAGACCTGGCAGGCCAGAAAGGACTGGCATGATATCTTCAGAGCACTAAACGAGAAAAATCTGCAGCCAAGAATACTATATCCAGCTAGGCTGTCATTGAAAATAGAAGGAGAGATAAAAAGTTTCCAGGACAAACAAAAACTAAAGGAATTTGCAAACACAAAACCAGCCCTCCAAGAAATATTGAAAGGGGTCCTCTAAGCAAAGAGAGAGCCTAAAAGCAGCATAGACCAGAAAGGAAAATGGACAATATGCAGTAACAGTCACCTTACGGGCAATACAATGGCACTAAATTCATATTTTTCAATAGTTACCCCGAAAGTAAATGGGCTAAATGCCCCAATCAAAAGACACAGGCTATCAGATTGGATTAAAGAACAAGACCCATCAATATGCTGTCTGAAAGAGAATCATTTTAGACCCAAAGACACACCC